GAGGAATGCATCTGAGACGTTTACTGCAGAGCTGACTAATTAGCTCCATAAAAATGTCTCGGCATCTATACCCGCGCCCCTATTAGGGCACAGGAAACTAATAAACTCCACAGCAGGGAAGTATTTGTAAATACAAGTACTACCCTGCTGCAGTTTCTTGTGTGCACCAGTGCATGTATAGATGCTGACCTGGCTGGCTGAAGCACAAGGGTGCTTCAGTACAGGGGCTGCCAGCTGGCTAGTGCTGCACTGAAGCTCCCTCATGCCCCAGCCAGCCCCTCCACAGCACATGGAGCCAGGGGAAGCACCACCAGGCTGGCAGGCTGGTCCCAGGGCTCCCTGCCATCTGGGACTGCTGCAACCAGGCTCTACATGCTGCACATGATTAAACTCTGGAGCTGATTGCTCCGGAGTTAATGGCTCCCAGGAGCACATTCAAACGGTGTGTCTGGAAGCAAAAAACTCTAGAGCAATAAGCTCCAGAGTTTATTCATGTGTACCAATTGCGTGTGTGGATGCACCTGAGAATTGAATTAAATCCAAAAATGCCAAAAATTACCAATACTCTTTTGTGAAGGAGAAAAAACAGGAGCTTTCTTTTGAGCACCCAGGAGTCAAGTTGTACATATTAGGAATTTGCACAGCCAAAGATTAACAATTTTAATTCAAAATAGAAAGAGCAAAAGAAACAATTTATAGAATATCAAACTTCTTTTTTCCCCCTATTATAAAAGGAATGCATCTTTTTTGTCACGATAGGAAGTGGAACTACCTTTGCAGAAACCAGATGGTTGTACACAGAAGGGTTTCTCTGCATATGTTAGCGGAGCCAAGCAAGAACGCTCTTTTTCATGAAGGATATTTAAAAAATATGGCTCTGCATTTAAAGTTTGATGAAAAATTAAGAGGACAACTTTCCTATGGAAAAGGCGTGCCTCATCACTTTCTGTAAGAAGTTATTTTTGATTCCAGAAGAATCTCAGTATTTTCATCTCAGTGCCTCAATCGCAGAGACGGGCCCAACAAATGACTGACGCAACAGGCCACTCTAACAGTCATATATATATATAATATTGTGCATGTATCAGTTCCTCTTTTAATGTGACTCTTAACTAGGTTCTATGGGCATCTAGCTATACACAGGAGGGGGAGAAGGGGGGGGCAGCAGTTAAAGCACCCCTGCCACGAGTTTGAACTGCAGGGACACAACACACATGATGATGAGGCTGCTGGAGTGTTCTAAATAGAACACTCCGGCAGACTTGATTAATCTACTTAGAACACATTGGAGCAGGCATCCTGCACATGTACAGGTGCCCTTTATAAATAAATGGACTGCTAGTGCAGGGATGTCTAGCCAATGTATACACTTATAAGCACTTTGATTCTAGTCACTACATTTTATACTCACACAAACACGTTAAAATCTTTAACATACAGTAGGAGGCCCAGAAAACCAACAGAAATGATATTTAATATTGTTCTATAAAAATCCTAAAAGTGTAAATAAATGTGTCTCAAAACAATTTCTTTGTGAATTAGGGGAATAACACCTTTAAATGAATAGCTGGTCAATAAAATTACAATTAAAAGTAACCAAATATTTTGCTTTTCCCTGACCTTCTTTGGGGCTTCACCTTTACAAAAATCAAGCTTCAGCAAACGGCTGCCTATGTAGTATATGGATTCCACACTACCATAAAAATGATACTGTGGAGCTTAATAAATAAATGATGGATACATTAGATACTAAAGATTTGTGGCTTTTGTTGTGTAAAACATCTGAAGAAAAACTATTATGACCTATGTATAAACAAGTTATTGCTATTTGGGTTGTTACTTTTATATTCCCCAAGAGATTCAAATAATTTTTAGACCTGAAACTTTACTTTTATCATCACTGTGTCTTACAAACAAAATAGCTAGTGAAGCAAACTTTTCCACCCTGAGCCTGCCTGAATATAGTCTGATTAAATATCAGAAAAAATACAAACACGCTGGTTTAACCTTCATCTCTGCTAAGCAGCATGTTATGTTTGACCAATCAGAACTTTGCGCTCGGGTGAGATGTTTAGGTCCAGAGTACACAATGATTTTCTGGCACCCACATAAGTTAAAATTAATTTGCATTTTGACCAAGTAACCTGCAAGTGGCAGGAGGTTTTCTGCTAAGTAAACACACATAAAATGAGGAAAACAGTGCCAACATTAATTTGTACTTTGGTACCATGTTTAATAAAAAGTGTTCTGTTAAATGTATTGTGAAATGGTTCCAAAAATGCACATACTTTTTCATGTAATTTGAAAAAGTTTTGGTATACTTTACATATTTTCCTTTTTTCTGTGGTGGGTTAATTTTTAAAACAATCATGGGCAATTACTATTTGAAAGCCCAAGAAGCTATATAAAATTTGCTGAAAAAATACTGATTACTTACTTGTACAATACTGAAATAGTAATTGAATTATTATTACTGACATATTAATTGAACTTTTCAGAAAACAAGAAAAGAAATACAAGCTAACATTAGCAATTTCTTATTTTACTGTGCACAAACTGTATTGCATGTATGGCCAGGTATATTTGCTACCCAAGAGGCACAGAACATTCTGTTGAAGAAATGTATACTTTATAATAGCAGAGCATACAGGCTGTGGTTCTCAAGAAAGGAAAATGATCAATCAAATAAAATGCAGAACTGATTTTCAACAGTTACCTACTGAACTTTTAAAAATATAAAATACTTCCACCCTATAATAAATATGACGTGCAAAAAACAGTGTGATCTGCAGATTGGCTGTGACAACCATGTTCTGTACCATTCTTTTACCACTGAATTGAAACAGCATGAATAGCATTTTTTGGTGAAATCTCTCAAGCATGGGCAACTACATTAAGCTCTCAAATCAAAACACTGAGGTAGTGTGTGTTATAATCTTTTTATCAAATGAGAATAGTAACTACACAACGTATATAAGAAAAACACAATTTTGTATCAGAAGTTACCAGAGACAGGGAGCAGATCGTTTAAAAAAGGGAAAAGAAGGAACTTTCCTAGTTTTTTCCTTCCTCTACAAATCATTACAAATATATTGGACAGTAGTGCTAATCATTTGACCACTAATCCTAATGGAACATTCAGTGAGTCTGTATATTATCAAGTATGCCCCTTCACACACACAAATCTGTGAGTATCAAACAGAAAACTAAAACACTGGACATGATGTTGCATGTATTTTTGATTCAAAAGGCTAGAGAATACAGACTGCTCCAGCTGGCCTTACTGTGTTGAATCAGCATCTCTGAAGGCAATGATTACTCTCAGTGACTGACAGAGGACGCTGCTCCTGGAAAAAGTCTCACTGTAATAAGCTACTAGAATGCAGAGGGAAAGGGAAGATGATTGTGAAGTAGACTTTTTCAGACATTGGTGCCAGAATGCATTGTCCTAGTAATAAAACAACCTTCATCATAATGCGTGGTCAATATTCTAAATTCATAAACTTCACAAGATTTGTTTGTTATGAGCAGGTCATTAAAAAAAAAAAAAAAAAAAAAAATCAATTCTTTTACCCAGGACACCTCCACTGACTTTCCTGAGTAATAATCTGAAAACTTCTTTTGAAATAATACCAAACGGCTACATGTAATAACCTTTATATTAGTGATATACAGGATGTGCGTTAACTGTTCACTATTTAAACACACATCTTGTATATCACTAATATAAAGTTTTAGAAGAATTGCCGTCTTAGTATACCCAAATTGTTTACACTGGCTGCATCAACACATGCACTTTACTGCAGGGTTGACTAATTAGCTCTGCAGTAATGTGTCACAGTCTGTGTATGCACCGGTATTAGGGCGCAGTAAATTAATTAACTCCGTTGTAGGATAATACTGTCAGGGACAGAACTATCCTATGGCAGAGTAATTTACTCTACCAGAATGCACATGAAGACAGTGACGGGCTGGCTAAGGCACAAAGGTGTTAAACTGCAGGGGCTGTCAGCCACCTAGCACCAGACTGTAGCAACCCCATGCCCCAGCCAGTCCCTCTGCCACATGACACTGCCACCTGAAGCCCGGGGCTGACCCCCCCAGTCCCTTGCAAGCCTGGGGCTGCTCCGCCCCAGCTCAAAGTGCTGTGGTCCCAGGCGCATGTGTAGACACTGTGTCCGGGAGCAGCTGACTCCAGCATGAACTACACCAAAGTTTATTTCTTCACACTAACAGCACATATAGATGAACCCACTGACTGTGAAAGTTATTCTCTCCTTCTGTTGTATTTTTCTTGGCTTCGATTCCAAGTTTCCTTATTTCTCAAATTCTACACATTAATGCTGTTTTTCAATACCCACTTTATTTTCCTTGTACACAACATTTAACTATTAGAGCCCTGTGTTGTTTCTTTTCTCATCTTCCAAATGCTGTTTGCATCTTTTCCTTTTTATGCATTTCTTAGTATTACTTTAACTAATTCAATTATTTCTAAATCCCCCCTTCTTTTTCTTTTAAAACTCTTGGAGTAAACATACTTTGACACTTGAAAAGCTTCATGCATGTCTAGCAACATTCAAACAACTGTATTATAATTATATGCTAGATAAGGGGAAGCCAGCCTGCAGCACACTTGCCATAGGTGGTACAGGTAGCCTATGTGTGGGGCACATGACAGACAGGGGCAGAGCAGAAAGCAGAGCAACAAATCAGAGCACAGGAAATGAAGTAGAAAGCAGAGCAGCAGAGCAGGCAGGGGTAGGGGATCTGAGTGGCATTTGGGGAGGGTGCAGGGCTAATTTGTGACCAAAAAGGTACTAAATCATATTTTATGGCTGTTGTTCTACTTAATAATGTCCTCCTTTGAGTTTTTGCCACCTTGAATTTTATCTACTACTTTCTCTTTATTTTCATTTATGCTACTGATATCAATGTCTTGCTAGCCAGTTCTCCCATCAGCTCTTTTCCTTTATTCAGTGTTATCTATAGATAGTACTGACCTTCGCTGACAGAAGTTCCACAGCCTTCAATGTTCAAAATGATATCTTCATCTTTGTCATCTTTATCATATTCCAAAAGCATCCAGCTCTCCAAGTTATCACTTTCAGAAACTGTGCTTTCCTTCTCTTCCTCTGCCTCCCCATTTGAGCTATCTTCTATTACCAGAATTTCTTGGACCATGGAAGCCCCAATAGAAATTGAATTAGATTTCACATGCGCCATTTTCTCTTTGCATGAAGTTTCTGCCACCAATCTGTTAGAAGCCATGGAATTATGTTTAGAAACTCTGGCATGGTTCCTTGTGGAGTTTCCTGGACAATTAGATTTTTTATTTGGTAATGATGAGGTTGCTGTCTTCACTTTACTTTTGTAAATGCTGTCTTCATCGGCTGTGTCAGACAAGATAATGACCTCAGGACCATCTGAAATCTGAATGAAATCACTGTCTGACAGTTCAATAATATTCTTTTCCCAAGCCAGTTTATTGGTCAAAACTGAACTTTGACCTTCTTTCTTAACAGAACCCACTTGCTCATTCTCTTCCTGTCCATTGATTTCCCCAAGATTCTGAGCATAATGGACCTGGCTATAGAGATGAAATTCTACTTCACTGTCCACACTCAGTTCGCTAGATGACTCTTCACGATAAAGGTCATCTTCATACCCTTCTTCGTACGCGTCTAGGTCTTCATACCCAAACATTTTGGAAAGAAAGTTGACCAGTATCTACAAAAAAATAAAACATCTCATTACTAAGACCAAGAAAATGAGTCCAGAAACTTCCTGAAAATGCAACAACCTTTTCCCCATGAGAGTTAAAGAGGTTTCACATATAGCCAGAAAGCTATTATCACAGAAAAAAAATTGTAATGCCAGATTTTACAGTAGGAAAAACATGAATTTTAAGAGTCACAATAGCAAACTTTACTGTTTAGACTGCACCCCTTTTTTCATTTTAACCTCATGCATTTTGACTCTTGACAAGAGCATTTAAAACATCCCCAGCTCCTTGCAAGTAATCAACTTTGGGCAGGAAAAATCCAGCTCGCAGTTCCAGGCACCCTGCTGAACTCTGGACCCAGAAGCAGTCGACACCACTTCCAGTTCTGGTTAATGTAATCAGTCACCTTTATGCAGTGCTGTGAGCACATTAATTCATTCTACCTTTCAACAGACACAGGAAGAAGATGCCCAATACTGCAGAAATATTTGGGAGTAGAACAGTTGCTTAGCTGGGAATTTTTTGAACATCAGGACAAAGTTCCAAAATTCAGAACTCTCCTAGAAAAATGTGGGGCCGCTGGTCACTTTACCTGTAATTCTCCTACACTGAGTTGGGAGCCAAGAAAATACTGAGTTTTATACTCAGTTCTTCCACTGGCTGGCATTAATTTTGTGTATTGCACAGTCACTATTACTCAACATTAGCAATGCCTCACAGCTGTGCCTGAAAAGACAGACAAGTATCATTCACCCCTTTTCACAAACATGATAAGTAAGAAGCTACCCAAGGCCACTTTTGGCAGAGCTAGGAATAGAACCTGAGTCTCATGCTTCATCCAGTGGGCACACCTGCCTCTCTGAATAAACATAACAGATATTTACCACTAGCCAACACCTCCTCCAGTGCCCGCAATGGAACCCATGGTTCGATTCACCAGCAAACAACTGTGTGACCCACTAACCGAGTATGGGCAATATAATCCCCAACAGTGGCTAGTTCATATAGGAAACAACAGGCTCCTAATGCTTACCTCTTCAGCTCTGTACTGCGAATTGAAAAGACCCTACTTTCCAACTACACTGATATTGTTTTTTGGAGGGGAAAAAAGGGAAATTACAATACAAAAGCTCTGATGAAAAAGTGCTGGAACTGCTAAATACTAAAAGGTTAGAAATGCTTGTCTCTTCTCCCCCTAGCAATTCCTCCAGCTTAAGCCTGGCATTTCCTCACTTTCTTCCCACAAATGCACACTTCCTCATACCACCTACAGTCTTGATTTTATACCATTACCTCACTAGATGGCTCTTCTCCCATCTTGGATCCCTATGGTCCTGCTGCACAGTGCACCTAAAGTGGGGGTCACTAGAAGAACCACAGCCAGGCAGTGATGTGGGAAAGAAATTAGTTGGAGGTGCCTGGGGTACTAAAACCACATAGGCAGCATGGAAGTGCCAAGAACCTCTGGATTAAGGCATCAGCACTTGCAAAATATGACAGAAGCTCAGTGCTGCATGTAGTCCTAGAAAAGTAAATGCCTTGGCACAGGTAACCAGCTCATCTGGTTCACTAGCACATCTTCTGCACTAAAGCACTGGCACATCACATGCACTTCTGGCACTGCTGCCTAAGTAGATTAGGAGCAAAGCCAAAGGAAGCCTTTGTATGGCCAAGTCACCACACAGAGGTGCTAGCTCCTCCCATATCCTAAACTACCTACAAACCTGCAACCCCAGGGGATGTTCTTCTTCCCCACAACTCCCTGGCTCAGCATCTTGTGCACCCCAAACCCTAACCTCTATAGATGGTTTCTGGGTTTTCTTCGGGGGGGGGGGGGGGGGGGGGGG